TTTTTGAGGCTCACCAATGGTTTACATTTTGCGGTGAACCCTCTGTATTCACTCTGGTGAAATATTCTCTTGATTGTTGACTTTGACACACATACACCTACCTCCTGGAGAGTGTTCTTGATCTGGCCAACTATTGTGAAAGGTGTTTTTTTTCACCAGGGAAAGAATTCTTTGGTCATCCACCACAGTTGTTTTCTGTGGTCTTCCGGGTCTTTTGGTGTTGCTGAGCTCACCGGTGCGTTCTTTCTTTTTAAGGATGTTCCAAACAGCTGATTTGGCCACACCTAATGTTTTTGCTATCTCTCTGATGTGTTTGTTTTGTTTTTTTCAGCCTAGTGATGGCTTGCTTCACTGATAGTGACAGCTCTTTGGATCTCATATTGAGAGTTGACAGCAACAGATTCCAAATGCAAATAGCACACTTGAAATGAACTCTGGACCTTTTATCTGCTCCTTGTAAATGGGATAATGAAGGAATAACACACACCTGGCCATGAAACAGCTGAGCAGCCAATTGTCCAATTACTTTTGGTCCCTTGGTGGTGTATAGAGCCAAAAAGATTAGAAAGATTAGAATTGTGTCGATGTCCCAATATTTATGGACCTGACTGCATGACAGTTAACCGGGGATCTGTCCGATGTCTCAGCAGTGTCACATGTGGGCACATGTTACAAGCGAAATCCTTGAGCCATCCACATACTAATAAGAAGTATGAAATTATACACACGATTACGTGTAAAACATCATATGTTGTGTATAAGCTGACCATGTGGCTTGAACTACGTGGGCAAAACGGAGACCACATTATGTGAAAGAATACGTGGACATCATTCAAGCATTAGATTGGTTTACAGAGACGGTACGTCTGATAAGCCAGTAGCGAAACACTTGTTGGCTGAACAACACCCTTTGTCTTCTTTAAAGTTTGTAGCCACACATACTGACACTACTCACAAATAGAGTACTACAGTCACATACTGACCGCTGAAATAAATACAAGAACATTCTGAACATTAATACACGCAAACATTCACACACCAACATTCACACATCCACTTAATTTACACACACAGCTTCTTCCACACAAATACATTTTAGATTCCTTCATATACATAGACACAAACACTACCTACAAGTACACTCAATCCTAGGCATACTGGCACTTCATACAAATATACTCCTGCATTCACACAACTAATTTGCATCCTAATATACCCCTGCATTCACTTGCCATAATTCCCTATAAATAAACCCTTGCATTCACAGATATGTTTTACATTGTAATAAAATACTGCCCTATTTTCAAACACAAACACCACATGCATATATCCTTCTGAATTTTATACTCACAGGCACTACACAAAATATTCTCTGGGTTTCACACATATCAGCATTACACAAATACATACTTTGACTCATACAATTGTACTTTGAGACTACATAAATACAAGACTGAATTAATATTCTTGCAGTAGACAAAATTCATCCCTCCATTTACACACAGTTTTTCACTACACTCAAATATATCTTTGAATTCACACCTATTGATATTCTACAAACACACATGCATTCATACTGGCACAATAAGCAGAAATGTCCATTCAATGATTTTAAATGTTATAATGTTATAAATCATTATATGCATCAAAAGTAATACACAACATTATATGAAAGTTATATTTAAAATTGATCAAATACATATATATTAGCTTTCAAAGGGCCCAGGACCTAATTTTGCCCAGGGGCCCAAATTGCTGTTCATCTCTGGTATGCCGTGAACATCAGTAATTAGTAATTCCAAAATAAGAAATCATGGGCAGGAATGGCCTCACAGACTAATAACCTGAAACAAAGTATCAAATCTTTTCATTCAGCTAGATACATATAGTAAACATGTTGCAATTCATCTCAATAGTAAGAAACAGTGTAACATATTACGTTCGTTTAAGCCTAGCGGAGTGTCACATGTTCATCCTCACCTTGTGGTGTGCGTAATGGTAAATGCCTTTATGGCATTAACGGAGGTGATATTCAGCAGCCCTGTGCCGGTGTATGTGACACCTGCGGCATGTTGAAGGCCGCTGGCCGCCTCGGATCCATTCCTATTTGTAACCCCATGTCCGCCCATGGTATTGACGATGTCAGCAAGCATGTGACGTCACGCAAAGAACACGCACGCACGTTCTGGGGTCAAAGGCCGGGTACGGCCAATCGGATCTGAAGGAGGCTTGTTTAAATTCCTTTTTCCTCATTTCCCTGTCGTGGTTTCCCTTAGTTGGCTAGCCGAGAGTGTGTTCCCGAGTGTTTGTTTATTTCTGGTTATTGACTTTGGCTTTGTTTGACTTCCCTGTATTCTGGTATCCTTGACTTTTTGCTTTCCCTCGGATAGAGCTAAGATTGGTTACCTAATGAACCAACTAAAAGGTAAAGCTTTAGCTTGGGCCAATCCATTATGGGAGAGCAATAGGAGTATTGTTTATAATTACCAGGAATTCCTTGCGGAATTCAAATTAACATTTGAACCATTAGGCAGGGAGGACTACACCTCCACTGCCACAATGCATATCAAACATTGGCGTGCGCAGCCTATTGCATTAGGGTGTGCACCCTAAAGCACAAACACACGCCGCATGTATGTATGTATGCATATATATATTATATATATATATACACACAAAAAATTATTTTTGGCACTCACCCTTTCGTGTAAATAATCCAATTTAGCCTAGGTGCAATCCCGCGTTGAAGATATATAAACAAAAGAAAAGAGATGCACTCCAAGGACTTAATAAGTGAAAAAAAGGGGTAATTTATTCCAATAGGTATTGCATCAAAACTTAGCCGACGTTTCGACCGATTCGGGTCTTTCTCAAGGTGTACGTGCACACACGTGCACTTACACACATACACACACAATCACACATATATATATATACACACGCGAAGTTTTATTTTTGACCCACCGTGCACATGGTCCCATGCCCAAAACAGTTCCAGAGAATTAACGGTCGGTATTTCTGTCTGGAGTATAAAAGTATATACTTCACATGAACAGAGCCTTTTAAAGTTCATTGGGCAAGGTATATTGCAGGGCCCATATTCCTGAG